GACTCATCACTAAATTCAAAACAGGGGTTACCTTTGGGGAGGGCAGGGAGAAGTGCACAGAGGGCAAAATACAATTGAGGAAACATTGTGTTTTTTATATATGTTGTACTAGGTAGTAGATACATAGCTGTTGGTTCTATTATGCTTTTTGGTATTTTTGAAATATTTCATCATTTTCTTCTCTCCTTAATTGTGTATTTCCTTCCCCTTCCTGTATGGAATTACATCTTAATAAAATATATTTGTATACTTAATTTTAAAAAATTGATCTTTATATCAGACTTCTTGGTAATAAATATGTATATAAATTAAAAATAATTGTTTAAAAATTTTCTATGACCAAAGGCTTTAAATGCTAAGACTTTTTTTTTATTGGTTTCAAGTTCCTATTATAATTATTAACAGCATAAAGTCTATACAAGTAGCACAAATATTTTAAAAGATTTGATTATTATTGCATGTTTTTAAAAAGTAAAATTTTATTGGAAATACATTTCTTAAAGAGATGGGTGAGACTTTTTACATGTCTTCTTCTTGGAATATTAGTTACTTTAATAAAACAGTGTTCAGCAATTCTCTTCCTGTTTGTTTTTATTACTATAATCTTAAGAAGCCTAGATCACATGCACAATAAGTGGTAATAAAATAATTTTTGGTAACAGTGTCATTCAACTCTTTGACTTTCCTCAACATCATATGACAAAAATCACATGATCTGTTATCTGTTATCAAAAATCACTTTTAAGAATCAGCTAAATGCCTGAAGTTTGCCCTTCTGCTCTGTTTAAAGCAGAGAATTGGAAATACCTGACTTACAAAAGGATTGGCTAATCAGACGTTAGAATCTGATTTCTTTCTGATTTTACCTTATTAAGTTGACTGTAGTAAAATTCGAATTGTCCTTTTATTTGGAGTCCCAGTGGTTGTTATACCCTGACGCCGTGCGCCCTAGAAAAATTTAGAGTTGGAAAGAGGTTTGTGGGTTTTTTGTTTTTTGTTTTGGTAAATTGAGCAGACAGGAATTGTGAGAGGAGGAGAAGAATGTGTAACACTTCCATACATTCTTAACAGATCAGTTTTGGGAAAAGGTAGAAATGGAAATTGAGAACCTAGGAATAGGCATACAGAAATATCTATGCTCAGATTTGTCATTCTGAACCTTGTGGGTTACACAGAGTAGTCCCAGTTTGAAGACTCTCATTTGAGGCAGCCCGTGACAGAAGGTACAACACCTTGGGCTACATTGGTCTTGTCTAACAACAAGATGTACAGCAACTGGGGCCAGCAGAGGCAGAGGTCCTGTGCTCTGCAAAATGTATGCCACTATTGCTTATGTAGGAATGCTGCCCAGTGTTTTGATATTGTCGTCACAAGAATGTTTTATGCAAGATGATATATGGTTGGCCACTCAAAACAAAACGAAATCCTTTATCAACATTGGGTTTTAATTCTGTCCCATAACACCTATTTGGATCTTAAATAATGTGGTTCACATAGCTTTGGTCAGCCAACTTGATGATGGCTTGAATTTAGCTAGTGATGAGGAATAGAGGGCTACTTGGCATATTCCTTACCAACTAAGGCTATCTATTATTCATAATCCATCCTACTGGGTTTAAGAGATAGTAATGAACTATTTTCCTGGTGGAGATGAGTTTGTGGCGCAGGTACATTTGTATATGCATGCATGTGCTTTGGCAGAAAACACTTCAGAACCACAGCCTTAAATTATTCAGTCTTAAATATTTGAAAAACGTCAGCTCAGCTCTTGAGGGAAAGAGGAGAGCGGATGAAAGCCCAGGGTTGGGAATTAAAATGCAGATACTGTATTTGGTATTGCTGTGTTAGAATAGTAATTTGTTAATCATGCAAGAGGTATAATTGACCTTTTATAATAGGTCAAGGATCCAGACCTATATTTTGGCGGGGAAAACAGGTCATCTCAACTTACCTTTTGTAAGCAGCAGGGGTTCCCCTCTGTAGGGCAAAATGTCCTTTCAGAAATTACCTTTGACATGCCAGTAGTTTAAGTAAGTGAAAAGTGGCAAACATTTATTGGATGTTCTGTGTGTGCCTGGTATGATTCTAAATGCTTTATATTGGTCCTTTAATTTAATCCTCATAATAACCCTCGTGAATTGATTTCAGAGATACTGATCCTCTCAGTCTCAGAGTTGGCAATTTCCCTACAGCACTGAGCAGCCTTTTCTACTCACCTGACATGCAATTGCAAATAGTATTTTGTTGTTGTTGTTGCAACTTTCATTTAGCTTCAGGGGTACATGTTTGTTACCTGGATATATTGCATGATGCTGGGGTTTGGGCTATGAATGATCCTGTCACCTAACTACTGAGCATAGTTCCCAGTATTTTCTATATGTGTCAAGAACTGTAAAAGATTGGGATGCTTGCCATGGAGTCTAGGAGAGCTGACTTTGATCTAACAGATCTGTGGGTAGATGCCATAAATGGACTTGATAGCACTATAAAGAAATGAAAACACACAATTGACCTGTTCAGGGAAGTTATTAATAGAGGTCTTCATGGTGAAGAAAATCTGTATGGGTTTAATCCAGGAGTTAAAAATTAGTGGTCTGTGGGCAGATTTAACCTACAGATTTGATAGTCCAGTACGATATTTAAATAAAATTAGAATTTGCATGCCTTTTCATGGGGGCAGAAATAATAACAGCTGCTGATGCTGCAGCCCCAAAGCTTCACACGTTTACATTTTCCTGCCTGGCTTCTGAAGGCTTCTGAGTGTGTAGCTCTTGGTTAAGTCACTCAAAGGAGGTGGTAGGTCATATATGGTTGGTAGGCTATATTAACTTTTTTTTTTTTTTTATAGCTATTTTTACCAGAGATTTGGGAGACGGTGGTGGTGGCAGCAGCCCTGGATTTATCCAGTAGGCATACTTTAAAAAATGCTTAAGCACCAGCTAGTTAGGAGTACAACAAAATCCTCAGTTCTTTTTTGAAATATTGTTTGGAAAAAATTTATTTCATGTTTCATAAAAGTATTAAGTTTTAGAAAAAAAAAATGCCTGTCATGAAAGTATTCAAGAAATTATATGATTTTCTGTAATTATTATTAGTAAAAATCAGAAGTGTGGTGACTGGTTCATATGGTAGTTCTATTTTTAATGTTTTGAGGAACCTCTTAACTGTTTTCGGTAGTTGCTGTGCTATTTTATATTGTGACCAATAGTATGCAAGGGCATCAGCTTCTCCACATCCTCACCACTGCTTATTGTGGTTTTTTGTTGTTGTTGTTTTGATAACAGCCTAACACATGTGAGGCAATATCTCATTATGGTTTTGATTTGAATTTCCCTAATGATTAGTGATATTGAGCATTTTTTTGTTATCTGTTGACCATTTGTATGTTTTTTTATGTCTTCTTTGGAGAAATGTGTGTTCAAGTCCTTAACCTATTTTAGAATCAGGCTCCTAGGTTTTTGTTTGTTTATTTTTTGTTACTGAGTTGTAAGAGCTTCTTATATATAATTTGGAGATTAATACCTTATCCGATATGGTTTGTAAATATTTTCATTTCCTAGGTTGCAATATAAATATTAATAAACTGTGAGAGGGGATGGACTGCGATATATATAGTCATGTGTTGCTTAATGGCAGGGATATTTCTGAAGAATGTGTCTTTGGGAGATTTCATACTTGTGCAGACAGAGTGAATTTACACAAACCTAGATGATATAGTCAACCACGCTATTTAGACTATAGCCTAAATCTCCTAGGCTAAAAGCTGTACAGCATGTTACTATACTGAATACTGTAGGCAAATGTAACACAATGGATGTATTTGTGTATCTAAGCATAGAAATGATACAGTAAAAATATCATATTTATAATCTTATGGGACCATGATCATATATGTGGTCAATCATTGACTGAAACATTGTTACACTTTACACTATTTTGCAAGGTGCATGATTGTATATGGCTAGATGTAGGTTATTGTGAAGATACTAGGATTCCTGTTGGATTCTAAGCTTATGGGTGCTTGTTACATCCATAACATAATTGACAAAGTAACTAGTAAGTTCACGTGGTTCAAAAATGGACCTGTAAAGAGACTATGTCATGATTGCAGGATAATAATTCATATTGTGTACATGAGGTCTAAAATGATACCAAAATAGAAAGTAAAAAGACAATACCTACAGTTGTTAGGAGGATTAAATGAGTTAATATTTATAAAGAACTTTTATTAATGCTTGGCACATAGAAAGTACTAGACAACTGCTTATCATGTAAAATATATGTACATCTTTAACTTTACAAGGTATTGCCAGATTGTTCTGCAAAATATTAGTACTAATGAATTTTATAGCTTCCTCCCACTCCAAATGCCACAGATATGCGTAAGAGATGACATTTCTTCATATTCTTTTACCATTTGAAATCATGAGGTTTCTAAATTTTTATCAATGTTTGGTTGTGAAACAAATCTCACTGTGGCTTTAATTTGCCACATTTTCCTAATTTCAAATGAGGTTGAACAAACTTTAATATGTTTAATGTTGTTTTTATTTCCTTTTCTTATAAAATGTAAAATTATATTCTTGACTCATTTTCTTCCCTGTAAGGCTCTTTGTGTTTTACCTATTGTCTTAAATACTAAGGTTTGTAAACACCTTTGATGTCTAATAGTGTACCTCCATGCATACTTATTTAAAATCGTCTGAGCTATTCTTGCTCTTCTAAAAAAAATTATCAGTTTGTCAGTTTGCCTAAAAATTCCATTTTGATTTTGGATGGAATTGTTTTGAACTTATAGATCAATTTTGGGGAGAATTGATCCATGAGAAAAGTTTTACTAAGAACTTTTTTTTTCTATTTATAGCTAGGGTTGCTCTATTATTTTGCTCTGTATATTTTGTTATTCTATTTATATGTTTACATATTCCCATTCTTTTGTGTTTGGAGCAGATGCACTTAATTGGTAAGTTTGACATCTTTATTAAAAGTCCACTGTTTACATTTTCTCCTTCGCAGATCTTGCAAGCATTCACAGTTCCAACTATCATCGCATGTAAATAAATCCTCAGTCTCTTTCCCTTCTTGTCTAGTCCTGCTCTTAATTCCCAAGGTCATCATTCTAGGTCTTTGTTTTCCGTTCCCATTTTCAATTACAAACCTTATCCATCATAAGGTGTATTGTCAATGTTTTTTACATTAGCTGAAGATTAGCCAGCCTTCTTTTCATGAGTGTGGGTTATTTCTATATAATAAATATGCTATAAATCTTTAGCAAAGGCTAATAATTTAACTATACTTCAAGGCTTTGTAAACTAATGTTGGTACATTTACAAGGTCCTTCTTTTATCGGAGGAAATAAAAGCATTTGGATATCAAATATTATTGGCCATTTTGTCGTTTACATGGGGTTTTGAAAGGGTGTTTGGCCATTGTGCATTATGAACAGATTAGATGTTCTGCCTGAAAAGCACTCATCCTGAATTTCTGCATTAAAGAAAAATATAAACAATATATTTAAGACTGTGGTTTGCATGACCATTCCTCAGATGCTGAACTTTGAGTTCTTTTGAAGGCAGCTGGGGCCTCTCTAAGTGGATGGGGCAGCTGCATTTCTCCATTAGGGCTTTGAGTAGTCTTGCCAAGGAAAATCTAAATGATTTGAAACACACCATCAGTCCAGAACTTTAATGAGCATTTTCTAATTACTGAGGGAGGGGCATTAAAAACCATGTCCATAATCTTTTTTTCCCCCAATTCTTTAAAGTTTTATTTCATTAACTTCAGGTCAAATTTCCACAACTATGTTCTGGTCAATTTCCTATCCTTGCTTGGCTTCCCCAAATGTACCAAAAGATTTGTGGGGTAGGGAGAATCACTGCATTTACTCCATCTTCCACAAGGCAGGAGTTGGGCATCTGATTGTTCAACAAAACAAGGCTTTAATAGCATCCAGGAGGGCAGACAGGCAAACCAGGCTGTAGATACTCTGCTATTTGTCAAAATCAGACCAGACAAAACCTACTCAACACCAATATAATAGGTATTGATATTCATCTTTTCTTTTTCTGTTGCCACAACATTTTTCTTCTTTGAACGATCATACCACGTAGTTTCTCAAGCCCTTCCTTTAGGCCATGTCCTTCGATTGCACAGTTAGGCTGCAAATGCCACCGAGTTGATGAACTCAGTTCACCCACTGCTAACAATTTCTCGATTTCTGAAAGAGACAATGAGTTCCTCAAGTCTTGTTTGTTAGCAACTATAAACACAGGGACTCCTTCATTTTCTGATATCCTAGTTATTTTGTGAAGTTCAGTTTTGGCTTCTTCCATCTGTTCGACATCAACAGAGTCCACAACAAATACAATGCCATCTGTGCATCTGGTGTATGACTTCCACAGTGGCCGTCATTTCTCCTGGCCCCCTACATCCCAGAAGTGAAAAGTGACTGTTTTAGAATTTCCCAGGGTTACCTTAATTTTCTCAGCATTAAATCCTTTGGTAGGTACAGTTTTTACAAATTCATTGAACTGCAGTCTGTATAAGCCAGTTGTCTTTCCAGCCCAGTCCAAACCCAGAATAGCAATGTGGAAGGACTGAAATGAAGGCAGGCTGGACAGGATAGAAATCTGGTCTGATAGTCCATTTCCCATTTCCAGCTGCAAATCAATGTCCCAAGTTGAAATGCATTCTTGTTTTAGAACTTCCCTTCGTAGGTGATCCAGCCATAAGACTGACTAGCCATCCTTCCCTCCTCTTCACTCAGTCTCTCTGTCAGCCGCTGGGGAGGCACGCTCACTGATACCCGTTAGCTGGCCCCAGGGAGGCGAGGGTGGTGGCGGAGGACTGGGTGCCTGATGGGCACCACACACCAGACTGCCCTAATGGTGCTGGCCCCGTAGCTCCACACCACAGACCCCACCCCCTGCGTACGCACCCCTAATCACACTAAGGGTTATCATAGATGTCACACTGCTTCTCCCTCCCTTCCAAGAGAATTATGATTCATTTTTTCTTTATTTAATATTAATAGTTTTCTTGCTTCATCCATGATTGTCCACCTATTTTGATCCTGTGGAATCACTCAATACATAGTTTTTTGATTCACATTGACTAAGCAAACAAATAAAAATTAAGGGCACATAGCTCAAAAGCATTCTTAGAGAATGATGGTATTTCCATGAGTTTTGAAGAGTAAGACATGGGAATTGAAGACCTGGGTGTAGTCTGGCTTGGCAACTTAAATTCTCTGAAGCCCAATGTTAATTTGGAAAACAAGGCCGATGCTCAATATTCTGAGGAAAGGAAACTGAAGAAAGGAGTGTAGAAGAGTTTAGAAAAATATGAAAGGAGAGCAATCAAGATTTTGTTGTCTATAAGTATCCAGCGAACTGACTTTTAAAATGGATGTGGAAGAAGGCAAACCTTGTTTCTAAACAAGAAGGCAAAACTTGTTTCACAAGTGCCTTCAAAGTGAAATTCATAGTCATGTTTCTAGTTTGGCTTCCCTTTGGGGGATAAGGACAAAGTATTACATCCTCTGTAAAGAGAGTGATATGGTTGCAGCCAGTCCCCCATTAACTATGAAGTTTGATATCATGGATTTGACTTATTTTACTACTCTCTTCCTTCCAAAAAGCCCCATACTTTGTCAAAGTTGATAACTGTACCAGATACTGTGGGATAGTTTCAACACTTACTGAACAATTTCTAAAGGCCAGAAATTATCAATTGTCATTTATTTTATGTTAATAACCTTGCTAAACACACGTTGTGATAACCATTTAACTGATATATAGGGGGAGCCTTTGTCAAACTGTGAGTTTTCTCTGCTCTCAGACCACCACAGCAGTCATCATCACAGAAAACTTCTGTGACCAAAGGTGTGGGGGTCTTTCCCCACATACCAAGCCTGGACACCAGTATGTGTCCTACCTGAAGATGGTGTCAGGTCGCATAGGTTGAGGGCTTAGTCCCACAAGACCACCCCTTCTTTCCCTCACAGTTGAAAGTCTGGGCCTCGAACTTCTGACCAGTTGGCTTCAAGTTGGGATTCCCATGAACCCCTCTTTGGGTTCAAATAATTTGCTAGAGCAGTGCTCACAGAACTCAGGGAACCACTAACCTGTGTTGACTGGTTTATTATAAAGGACAGTGCAGAAGATGCAGATGGAAACATGCACCGGGACAGGTATGGGACACAAAGCTTCCATGCCCTTTTTTGGCATACCACCCTCCAGGAACCTCCACATGTTCAGCTGTCTGAAAACTCAATACAGTTCTTTTGGATTTTCATGGAAGCTTCAGGACATCAACATTCCTTCCCTCAGGGTATGGGGTAGGACCCTAACCAGGGAGGGGTTTAAGACCCTTAGTCAGAAAGGCTGGGAAGAGTGAAGTCCTTCCTCGAGGCAGTGGAAAGGAGGGCAGGAGAAGGTAAGAGGCCTGCCGCTGAGGCTGAACACACCCAGTATTATAACTGTAACAAGGGCAATGGGAGTCAGGAGCCAGGAGCTGGGCCAAAATCCAATATATATCATAACACCACACTGACGTTAAAAAAAAATGAGGTTCAGAGAAGCTGTTCCATGTTTTAAATCAACAGGTATTAAGTGGCAGAATCAGGATTAGAGCCCAGGATGTCTGATTTGGTGTTGCGCCTGCCTTCCACTGGAAAACAGCATGGGCGGGTGATAATACTGTGGCATGTGGAATCTGTCTGTGTGACTTTGACCTTGGACAAGTCATTTAAGCTGTCTAAGCCTCTGTTTTCTCATTTAGAACATAAGAGTGATAATAATTATTTTGTTTTCTTTAAAGACAGGCCAGGCATGGTGGCACACGCCTGTAATTCCAGCACTTTGGATCACCTGAGGACAGGAGTTTGCAACCGCCTGACTTACATGATGAAACCCCATCTCTACTAAATACAAAAAAATTAGCTGAGCGTGGTGGTCCACGCCTGTAATACAAACTACCTGGGAGGCTGAGACAGGAGAATCACTTGTATCTGGGAGGCAGAGTTTGCAGTGAGCTGAGATCGTGCCATTGCACTTCAGCCAGGGCAACAAGAGCAAAACTGAGTCTAAAAAAAAAAAAAAAAAAAGTCTTGCTCTGTAATCCCGGCTAGATTGCAGAGGCATGATCATAGCTTGCTGCAGTCTTGTACTTCTGGACTCAAGCAATCATCTCGCCTCAGCCTCCTAAGTAGCTAAGACCACAGGTATGGCCATCATGCCCAGCTAATTTTTCATTTTTTGTAGAGATGGGGTCTTGCTATCTCCTAGCAAGTCTTGAACTCCTAGCCTCAAGAAGTTATCCTGCCCTGGCATCCCAAAGCTCTGGGATTACAGGTGTGAGCAACTGTGTCCTGCTAATAGTTATCTTTTAGGGGCATTTTCTAGATCCCTGTTTTTTCTCTGTTTTTCTCCCATCATCATTATCAAGGTCTTAATACATATATACTGAATCCCATGAAAACCTACTTCCATGTCTAAGTCTGACCCAGTCTGCTTTTCACTGGAGGCATACTAGTGTACAAGACAGTCCTTGTCCCTGCCTTTGTGAAATTTACAGTTTATTGGGGATACCTATAATATGGTGGTGTAAGCAATGAATGTAGCCACACAGGATACTATCGGAAGGCATAGTGGGGGCCCCTGAGACTGGTGGGGCTGGAAAGGAAGGGAAGGCTGCTTGGAACTCTACATTGAGAATGAAGAATGATTCAGATTTATCTGGGTAAAGAGCAGGGAGAAGAGTGTTCCAGAGAAAATGATGTCTGCAAAATCTAGGAGATGCAAGAGATCATGGTGTTTTCCAGGATCTGAAAGTTCAACCTGTGCCCATGTGGGAGGTGGTAACAGCTGAGGTGGAAACATTAGCAAGGGCACCTCAGGAAGTGCCTTGCTAATCATGTTAATGGTTTTGGACTTTGACCTGAGGTCAGTGGGAAACCACTGAAGGAATTTAAGGACTTTGCCACCTGGAATTTAAGGACTTTGCCACCTGATAAGATTTGTACCCTAGTTATTGTCTGAAAAGTAGA